AATTCTACACCAGGAGCTCGCTCTGAAATACGGTCTCGTGGACCGGAAATTGCCGTATTACAAGTACTTGGCGGAAGCCGTGCTCGAAAATGACCGCGCCAGGCGGACCGACACCGCGAACAAGGCCCAAATTAGCAAGATTAGATCGCCCCGCAACCCGTCAGGTGACATATTCAGTGCACGTGTTTCGTAACTCGGGACTCGAATCGATCTCGTTAGCGGAAGCGCGCGCGGCGCGGATCGAGGTCACGGTCGCGGCGCATGGAGACGCCGAGCCGCTGCGACAGAAAGCGTGCCTCACTGGAGGCTACGGAATAGACCTGCTGAAGCCAATCTTGCTTGGCGGGAGGAAGTGAGACTTCGCGAGCAACAAGCCATAAGCAGTGTTGTTCCGAAGCGTTCATCGCATAGTTTTACCGCTTATTAATAATTATAGTTTAGTCCCTTAGAAATTGTATACTTGTGATTGGATAGTTTTATTATTTAAATATTATTTTGTCGTTGATAGAATTATACATTGGTATTTTCTTAGTGTTTGTTTAGCTTGTTGGTGTTCCATAAAATTAAAAATAAAATAGTATAGTTTAGCCGCGCCACAGCAATACGCTGTGTTACATTTAAATCATTTTTGTCGTTACTGTGTAGCCTTTGTAGTTTAAAAGTCTAAAAGATAAGTAGTGTTTGTTCGTATATCGTTACGTCCGATTACAACTATGCAGAGTTGCTAGTATTGCGTGAACTTCAACGTGCACATTTTTCCGAGGAAATTACAAGATTACAATCAAATAGAACTTGTAGTCGCGCCTTTCAACGCCTTAAGCCATTTTTACAAGATGGAATCGTCAGGGTAGGTGGACGCTTGTCCAACGCGCAGTTGAGTTTCGACCAACGGCACCCTATAGTTTTACCGCGTAAAGACCATAGGTATCATGAATTTATTAGTTGATTACCATCATAAATTGAATTCTCACGCTGGCCCCGATTTGCTGATGTCAATCTTGCGTCAGAATTATTGGATTCTTGCAGCACGTAATTTAATCCGCAATCGGGTGCACAGATGTATAGCTTGCTTTCGAGTACGTCCTAAGCCTCGTTTCCGGAAATGGCGGACCTTAGGTCTTATCGAGTAACACAATCCGTAAAGCCTTTTATGCACACCGGGTCTGATTTTGCTGGTCCGTTTAAGGTCACGCTCACTCGCGGGCGTGGTATAAGATCCACAAAAGCTTACGTCTGCATTTTCGTATGTCTGACTACTCGGGCTGTGCATATAGAACTCGTTGGTGATCTAAGCACAGCGGGCTTTATGGGTGCATTTAAAAGATTTCTTTCCCGCCGTGGCCCTGTAAGTAAATTGTATTCGGATAACGGTACGAACTACGTCGGCGCGAAACCTATTTTATCAGAACTACATGAGCTCTTAGCCAGCAAATATTATAATTCGGAGTTCGCTCACATTCTAGCCGAGAACCGCATCGAGTGGTCTCTGAAAGTCCCAGCTGCGAGTCATTTTGGGGGAGATTGAGAGACTAATGTTAAGAGTCTAAAGAGTCATTTATACCGAGTAATAGGAGATCAAATTTTGTCCTTCGAAGAGTTAATTACTGTGCTCGCTCAAATTGAGTGCGTCATGAATAGTCGCCCACTTTGTCGTACGTTGTCAAGTGACCCCTCAGAGCCGCTGGCTCTAACTCCAGCACATTTTTTGAATTTAACGCCTTTGAAGTATTTGCCCGCCGTAGATATGGACGAGAACAAACTTAGCATTTCCGAACGCCATAAATTATTAGACCGGTTGGTGCAATCGTTTTGGAAACGATGGAGGATGGAATACTTGCATACGTTGCAGTCTCGGCAAAAATGGAACACAGCAACTGAACCTTTAACTGTCGGAACTGTGGATGTGTGTGAGGAGAGACGTCGCCTCTCCATTGGCCATTAGGGATTTTCGAAGAGGTTTTTCCCGTTTCCGACCTGCGTCCATGCGTCCTGTTGTCCGTTTGTGCCCTTTGCCCCTTCAATAGTTTAAATTAGCTTTCTAGATTAGAAATTGTAGTCGAAATTTAGGTTTAATCTTAGCGTTAGTTATGTGGTTAGTTTAATCTTAGCGTTAGTTGTTTTAGTTTTTTTTTTAAGGGGACCCTTCAAGTCGGGGGGGATGGTTGCGCGGAAAACCATTCGTATTTTTAATTTCATACGAAGGTAGGCTTGTCAAGCGTTGTCCTTTCCTTCACCTATCGTTTCTCCGACACACCGGGGTGGTGGGGTGAGGGGAAAGAAGATAATTCTAGAATGTCGCGTGATTCTCGCAACCAATGAGAATCCCCCCCCCCCCCGAGACACATTGAGAAAAGGACCGAAGTAATATAAGCGCGCGCACGGCCCTCGTGCGCCCTTTTCCATCGCTCCACCGACCAGGACCGCATCCCTGGGGCCCCAGGAGATCCGCCAGAAGTAGCACCGCAGCGTCCAAGCCGCATCGAAGTCACCCCCCGGTAAGTGTGCTTCTTTTTCTATGACGCCTGCTTGAGTATTTGTGTTTTATTAGTTTGCCTTTAAATATAGCCCAACAAGAATTTCCAGTCTGTAATGTTTCAAGATTTATGCGTGGCCAGGTTTTGATGCGATGTACATTTATAATATGAGATGAAAGTACAATGACTCATAGAAAATCACTTGAAGCATTAAATAGAACATTACAGGATATCCGGAAAAATAAAAAACTTATGGGGGGAATTTTACTATTATTATCCAGAGATTTTCGACAAACAAGGTTAGGTTAGTTAAGTTAGACAAGGTTATTCAAAACTCGCATGTTTGACGTTTTGGGATCGTATTGACAAATTATCATTAATAGAAAATATGCGAGCAAAGATTACTGACGAGTTTGTTGAAAATCTGGTAAAAATTGTCAATGACACCTATCCTATATTATATATCCTATACGAGGTGTAAGTGTAAACACCGTTGAAACTAAAACCATAGGTTTTTTATTTAAGAATTTAAAAAAAACAACGCTATTTTCTTTCATAAAATTTAAAGTTTCTGTCCGACACCGTCCGTAAATTCATGGATACCCTATGCGCCCGAGTGACGTAATCACTGTAAAGATCACCGCCCGCGCTAGCTACCTACACAACATTCCAATAAAAAGGTACACATAACCTGTGATGTAACTTTTCCTTCATACCTTCATCTTGGCTTAGGGCAGGCAAAATTGAGGAATAAAGGAAAAATTGAGATTTTACTTTAAAAAAAAATGTTGTTATTTTTCATTGAATTTACGTTCTATAAGTGAAACTAAACCACTGATTTCAAGCATAACGCTTTTTACACTAACACCCTGCATAGATTCACAATTAGGCAAAATTGTTCTATCAGAAGAATTGTGTAGCCTAGTAGATACAGAAGAAGAACTTATTGAAAAAGTTTATCTGTCTATTGAACAGAATTATCTAAATAGGACATGGTTGTGTGAGCGAGCAATTTTAACTACAAAACATGATGTAGTACACCAAATTAATGAAAGGATACGGAATATAACACCAGATGAAAAACTGTATAAATCAATGGACACAATGATGAATCAAGACGAAAGTGTGAACTTCCCAACAGAGATTTTAAATCCACCGAATCCGCTTGGTATGCCTTTGCATGTATTGAAGCTAAAAATTGGATCAGCAGTCATATTATTATGAAATCTCAATTCGCCAAAATTATGTAACGGTACAAGAATAAATGTATAAAACATCTTCTCAACAACATAATTGAGGCAGTAATTCTAACTGGCAAAGAAAAAGGAAAATCCATTTTTATACCACGAATTCAATTAATTTCAAATGATTAACCATTCTGTTTTAAATGGTTACCTACAGTTTCCTATACGACTGGCTTACAGTATAACTGTCAATAATGCTCAAGGTCAAACATTCTGATATTGTGGAGTGAATTTGGGAGAATTCCGTTTTACACATGGTCAAATTTATGTAGCTTTTTCGCGCGTTAAACAAAAAAAATTCATGTTTGCACCAGAACACAAGACAGTAAATATAGTATATAAGAATGTATTGTAATAAAGGTATTCAGTACATGACTATCTGTAAAGTATTTTTATATAATGAATAAAATCATATGTAAGAAAAAAAGTTAAAAAATTAAAAAAGAAAAGTCATGTGTTCTTAATTAAAAAAAAAAAAAAACAAATTTAATAAAATATACATTCATGAATAAATATTCCACTAAAACTAACACAGCGAAGCGGGTTTTCACAGCTATTGTACATATTTTACCAGATACATCACGAAGAAGATTTTGCTCCAGTGTGTATATTCAAATGCCTTTGCATATTACTTTTTGTAACACACTTATATTCACAGATATTACACGAAAAAGGTTTTTCTCCGGTGTGTATTTTTATATGTCGTTGCAAACGACTTTTGCTATTACATCTATATTCACAGTATCACACGTAAAAGGTTTTTCTCCAGTGTGTATTTTCATATGCCTTTGCAAATGACTCTTTCTAATACATCTATATTCACAGATATTACAAGAAAAGGGTTTTTCAGCGGTGTGTATTTTCATATGTCTTTGCAAATTACTTTTTAAATTACATCTAAATTTACATATATTACACGAAAACGGTTTTTCTCCAGTGTGTATTTTCATATGTATTTGCAAACGACTCTTTGTAATACATCTAAATTCACAGATATTACAGGAAAAGGGTTTTTCTCCAGTGTGTATTTTCATATGTGTTTGCAAATGACTCTTTGTAATGCATCCAATTTTACATATATTACAGGAAAATGGTCTTTCACCAGTGTGTATTTTCATATGTCTTTGCAAATTACTTTTTAAATTACATCTAAATTTACATATATTACACGAAAACTGTTTTTCTCCAGTGTGTATGTTCATATGCGTTTGCAAATGACTCTTTGTAATACATCTAAAATCACAGATATTACAGGAAAAGGGTTTTTCCGCGGTGTGTATTTTCATATGTGTTTGCAAACCACTTTTTCTAATACATCTAAAATCACAGATATTACACGAAAAAGGTTTTTCACCAGTATGTATTTTCATATGTGTTTGCAAATGACTCTTTGTAATGCATCTAAATTCACAGATATTACAGGAAAAGGGTTTTTCACCGGTGTGTATTTTCATATGTCTTTGCAAATTACTTTTTAAATTACATCTAAATTTACAGATATTACACGAAAAAGGTTTTTCTCCGGTGTGTGTTTTCATATGTGTTTGGAAATTTCCTTTATTTGAACATTTATAATCACAATTATTACAACAGTACACTTGCTTAGCCACGTGCGCTTTAAGATGTGCTAAAATGCGATGTTTATGAGATGTTTCAAATTCGCAAATATCACAGTTATATATATCCATTAGATGTGGTACTGGAGTTTGTTCAACTTGTGTCCGAACTGCATCTGAGTTCTGTTGCGTCTTATGACTGTATGATATGTGGTCGGCGAGAATATCTTTTGTAAAAAACTTTTTTCGACAATCATCACATTCAAAAATGTATTTTGTTGATGTCTCAGATGTGTTTTTCGTAAGTATATTTACACTCTGCTTCAAAATTTTCTTTTTCATGATTTTTACAGAATGCTTCCCTTTTTTAATAACTGGTTGAGTATCTCTTTTCAGTTTAGGCTTTGATTTAATAGTAGGGCTTTCTAAATCGAGGTTTCCTTTACGAACGTCATTTATGTTACAAGCGGTAGAATTTGATTTAATCTTTTCCTCACACGGTTTTGAAAAAATATTTGTTTGTATGCAGGGCTGTTCTGAAATACAAATGAATCAAACATTTTATTTATTGTAATATACCTTAGACGGTTTAAAATGGGCGGAGTTTATGTCTTATGGCATTTTTCTTCTTCTTCTTCTTTCTTTTGTGGCGGTTTGATAAAATTCGCCAATGACGTATTGAGTGGAAAATGAAAGCTTATGAGTTTAATTCAAATAAGAGTCTGTGATAATACAAGGATTCAATTTTCCTCCGAGAATTTTGACAAATCTATTTGTTGAATTACCTAGAACAAATACGACAAACACAGGTGTTAGACTCTTATCAGTATGTTAAAAGTGACAAGGATTTAAAGTTTCATATTATTAGTATTAATAAATTCACATAAAATGTACACAAAAGGAGTACTTTAAAAGAGAATTAAAATCTATAGGTCGAGGAATATAAGGAGGAAGGTAATCAAAGAATAAAAAAAATAAAGGGAGGAGGATAATTTGGGACTGTTGAAAAAAATATGGTTTGTGGAACCTTCATCTAAGCCACATTCACACAATGAGCTATCCCTTACTCTGATTTTTGCCAGATGTACATGTGTACAAGCGTGTCCAATTCTTAATCTACAAATTATTGAAGTTGCATGTTTATTTGCTTTGTTAAATTTAAAGAACCAAGGCTTGGGAGGAATAACCTCTTGTATGGCAGCATAGTGCTTACCTTTAACATTTTTGGAAACTTCCCATAATTTATTCCAATTTTCATTCAGTTTCCTTTTAGCTAGCAAAATTAGGTCATGTGAGTAAATAAAATTTTGTAGAATGCCATTAGCAATTGCATTTTTAGCGAGTACATCAGCTGTTTCGTTACCATGGATACCACTGTGGCCTGGGATCCAGGCCACTGAAACATGGATTCCTTTAAGATGGCATCTGAATAGGGTATTTTTTATTTTAAGAATTAGTGGAAATTTATGTTTGTTATGGAATTGATTCGACAAAACAGCTAACAAACAACTTTTTGAATCTGTGAAAATAACTGTTTTATTAAGATTATGTGACTCTACATATAATAAAGCTTCACTGATTGCAGTTGCTTCACCAGTAAAAGTGGAGGATAGTGGTGGGCATTTAAAGTTAAGAATGATTTTGAACTTAGGAATCCAAACAGCAGCTCCAGTATAATCTTCATCAGACTGTTTGGAAGCATCTGTGTACATGACAAGCCAATCTTTAAAGGTGTTTTCTATAATTTCTTTTAATTTCAAATTTGCCATTGGAGAATCCTTTTCTAGACCTAGATCTAGATGAATGTCGGGTTGGTAAACAATAGCCACGTAAAGGACATCAAAGAGTGGATTTATTTTACATTGAAAGATTGGGTAAGGAAGCTGAAGAAAAATTACAAAACTTTTAAACAAGCAGGGAGAGTCCTTATGGGTCCAGTATCGGTCAGATGAGATATACTCTGAAAGAAGATGCAATTTAGGAATTAGGGGATGATCTGAAAGCTGGCAAATCTTAAATAAGAATCTGTCCGAAAGGTATTGCCTTCTTAATCTTAAAGGAGGATCTACGCACTCAACCTGAAGAACATTTATTGGTGAGGATTTCATTGCCCCTGTAATAATGCGAAGGCATTTCGATTGAATTTTGTCCATTACTTTCAGGGATGATTTATTGCAAGGCTACAAGAGAAAACATCCATAGTCAAGGTGGCTTCGTATTAAAGCATTGTACAGCAATTTCTGAGAAAAAGGATGGGACCCCCACCAAACACCAGACAAAGACCGAAGAATATTTTTTTTTGCATTTTTGTGTTATATATTCAATGTGATGACTGAAGGCCAATTTTGAATCAAGGATAACTCCCAAAAATTTAACATTGCCTCTAACTGGAATAGGTTGCTTATCATATACAACAGATATATCGGAACTCGCCTTTGGCGGGAAAAGATCACCACACTACTCTTGGCCACAGATAAAGAGAGGCCATGATTAGTTAACCATTCTTGTAAATAATCCATGGATGAGTTTAGACGGGAACATGCCACTGTGAAGTTGTTTAAGGAGATGTATAGAGCTAAATCGTCTGCATATTGAAGAACATTACAAAAAGAATTTACTGAAAGTTCTAAATCATGAGTATATATAGAATAAAGGAGAGGAACTAAGAACTGAGCCTTGTGGAAGTCCTTTCCATATAGTTTTTGGGGGAAGCAGGAAATTTTTAACATTTATAGATATTGATCTAGAAGAGAGAAAGTTAGAGACGTAATTGACTATCCTCAGTGGAATGCTCAGATTAAGCATTTTCTGCCTGCCTGAAAATTGCATTTCTGAACTCTATATATACAGGAACAATATTATCATTGTTAATTGGGGGAAGAGTTGAAACCTCTCGTTCCAAAACTGTAGAATATAATTGCCAATTAGCTTTGGACAGATTATACTTTAGTCTTGGGCAAAATGTAAAATTTATTCTAGGGGAAGTAGGAGGAGTGATGAATATAGGAAAATGGTCACTGCCATAGCTAGAAGGTAATATTTGCCACAAAAGTTGGAAAGCAATATCTGGGGAACAGAGAGTTAGGTCAACGGCACTTCTAACGTTTTGTAATGGGGATACTCGACGGGTAGTAGACCCGTCATTTAGAATACAGAGATTAAAATTATCAATAAGATCTAAAAATAAGGGAGCCAGTGAATCACACTGATGGGATCCCCAAACAGTATGATGTATATTAAAATCTCCCAAAATAACCAAAGGAGGTGACAGAGAAGAAATAAGTGTTGCAAGTTCTGTTAAAACATTTACATCAGGATTAGCAATGTAAACAGAGAGAATAGAGACATCAAGGGCCTTAATAGCAACAGCATTTACTGCTTGACTATGAGAAGGGAGAGGAATTTGTGAAAATGTAACTGTTCTTGAAATTAAAATAGAGGTGCAAGCGCGACCATCATTCCTATCATCCCGGAGGCATGCATAGCCTGAAACCCTAAAAAGAGACTCAGGCCTAAGCCATGTCTCCTGGATGGCAAGAATGAAGGGATGAAGTTTATTAATGAGGTAAATGAGTTCATTTTTTTATTTCTAATGCTCCGACAATTCCATTGAAGAATTGGTGGGACTGCGAATATTACGGGCTAAGGAGGAAAGCTGAGTAAGTTTTTGGTGTAAGCTGAGAGGAAGTTCTGTGTCACTAAAACGGGAGATCATGTTAATTAGCATTGATATCATAAGTTCACAGAAATTATCATTACTAGAGGAGTTGTTGTCATTCCCCAGTAGAGCACACCCATTAGGAAGGGAAGAATTAGGATTCTCAACAATTGCCTGATGGGCTGCCATATCATATCCAGAATTTAATGATTGGCTGTAGGTACGTTGAGGGATAAAAATTGTTTTTTTGTATGATGCAGTTTGTGAGAGCTGAGCCAAAGGGGTTGAAAGACTGTCAATTATGGTATAAGGGGTCTGTTGAGAACAATTACGAGGCTGGATTCTTGTTGTATCAGCAAAGGATTTTTTTTGTCTGAGGGAAACTAGCTGAAGCTTCTAAATATGAGATATTTTCTTGTGACATAACAAGTTTAATAGATTTTTGCCTTAGATGTTCAGGACAAGTAGGGTACTTTTGCGGTGTGGGGACCTGAGCAGAATAGACAAGTAGGAGTTTGTCGAGAACAAGATAAACCTTCATTATTCTGTGCACACACAAAGCAGCGAGGGGATGATCGGCACTGGGAAGTAACATGGCCAAATCTACAACATTTATGACACTGAATTAGTGGCAAAACATATTTTTCCACTGGCATAGATGTGTAAAAACAGTAAATATGGGGAGGAAGTTTTTGTTCAGAAAAAGTTAGAACGACTGTCTGAGTTGGAACCCATGAAACGCTATAGCTGTCACTCACTGTTCGTCTATTAAGTCGCCGTGCTTTAATTACAGAACCGTAGCCAGAAGGAATTTCTATAGCAGCTATTAATTCTTCTAGTGTCCACTCTATGGGAACTTGTCTAACTAGCCCGAGTGATACCAAATGAGGGGATGGTTGCTTCATATTTAGAGATTTGGAGAGCTGGGTGATCGATAAAGGTGTTTGCATCTGCTGCTGTTTTAAACTCCACTGAAATTCTATTTCGTCCAACTTTTTTGACTCCATCACGGACTATATTTTTAATATTGTTATGATACAGAAAGTGACCGAATTTAATTGGTTTAAGAGTTACTCCAGACAGCTGATCATTTGAGATTTTACTTACATGAACTAGAAAAGGAGCGGCATCATCTTGAGAGTACTTAACTTTTTTATTAATAAAATCAGGATGGGTATATGAGGATTGTATTGAAGGAAACTGTTGATTTGGATCAGTAATAACTGTTTTTTGTGGATGGGCAGACTCGTTACTTACTTGGGCACGTTTACGGTTAATTAGTTCTATATTATCATTATTAATGGGTAAGGAAAAGGAATATCATTGCGAACCCTTCCGGGATCGGGAGGTTCGTCCTCCATTATATTACTACAACAAAAAATTACATAAAAACGCACAACTACAAACACTTACTACTTGTTGTTATGTTAAAACCTCCACCAAGACAGAAAAATTTACTATAGTAAATCAACAACACTTAATAAAAGAATAAATTTTAAGCAAAAAGGGCACGACACTTGTGTCTCTCACTTCCTTCCACGTAAAAAAAAAGTACGGCATTCTCTCTATCAGTCAACCAAGGGAGATATAGAGAAATCATAATATTTTACATAATTATACTAAATAATGTCACTAGATATATAGTATTTTAGCCAATTTCTCTGGATAACACATTCATTTTTGGTGGGAAAGAATGGTAAGGAATCTAAATTCGAATAATAATGATGACGTTCTTCTAACCGTGTTATAATTACATTAATCTAAACGCTTGTTCGAATGCCACATTGAAAGCGTTATACATACATACATTTTGACTAGTATTGTTGTAGATATTAACAGCCCTATTAATAAACACAGAATTGAGCAAGATTAACTTTA